AAGGCTGAGAGAGCAGTCAAATGGGAAACAAGTCATGTGAAGTCAGGCGCGTGAATCTTTGAAAGACGGGAAATGGTCCAGGTGATTGGCGTATCCTCTCTCTCAGCTAAGTGAGGAGTAAGTGCAGTGTGGGGCTCCAGGAGACACAAAGGGTGTTTCTCAATATATCTCCTCTCCCTCTCCACGGTTCCATCGTCCTTTCAAACCTTGTGTTCCAAGGTCAGCTCAGTTTCTTACCTTCCTGCCATATCAAATATATTTTTATCCTACAAAAGACAATCCTCTCCCAGAGGGGTATGTGAACAATTCTCTTTACAGCCTAGTAAAGCAACTAGTATTTGTTCCACGGCCTGTCTTTGTCAATAGGAAACATTACTTTAGCACCTGTTCTTAAGTAATCAATTATTTATGTCATGAATACCAGTCCTGGGTTTAAATACTGCAAGAGATGAAGAGCAAAAAATGTAATACTTTGTTTGCCTGTGTTCAGGGGAAAACAAAACCTTCACAAAAGAAAAATAATGGCAACATCAGCAAACGCTAAATTCTGTAATGCGCCTGGGAAGAGGGCCTTCACTCTTCAGAAGGAACCCATAGGGGGCCCCCTTCTCGGGGAGGAAAATGTACAGCTGAGCCTGAAGGACCCCTTAGAAGTGAGGCACTTAGCAGGGCAGGGCAAGATCCAGGAGGGGCCCAGCTTCCACAAAGGCAGGAAAGGGCCAGGCCTGAGCCGGTGACAGCGAATGGCAGCTGAAAGTTGGGTTGAACAGAGTTGACACAGCTTAGTGACTAAAAGTGAATGGACAGTGGCCTAAGTCTGCCTCTACCACCTGCCAGATGTGTGGTGGTAGGCAAGTCACGTAACCGCTCTAAACCTCGGGGTCCTCATCTTTAAATGGGAACGCAGCCACCCCAGGGCCGTCGAAGGACTACATGAGATCACGTGGGCAAGGTGCTCCGCCTGCGGTCAGCGCTGCAAAATGGTGGGACTAGCAGTCGCTTTCTGCCGAAGTTGGAGAGGTGGAGGATTTGATGAAGGGGCCCTGGGAAGTCACTGTAGTTCTGGAGTGGGGTGAGGGCTGTAATTAATGCAGGTTTTGGGAAGATGAATCTGCCCGAGGCCTGCAGGATTGATGAAGGGAAGAGTCTGAAGACAGGGTCGTGTCAGGAGGCCGTGAGAGTCATCTTGGCTTGATCTCGCGAGGAGCTGACTTGGGAAGGCGGCAGTGAGAGCCGAGAGGGAGGGAGGGAGAACGGTGGGTGGAGGAAGGGATCTAGGGAGCCTGGTGACTTCACCAAGAGGTGGGAAGACACAGGGGATCAGTCACAGAGGATCCCCAGGATTTGAACTGTGGGAACTGGGTAAGCCAGTGACAGGGCCTGCTCTCTTCCGCCCGTTAGAGGAACGCGGAGATAGTCAGGGCCCCAGCAGGCAGGGGCTTTGTCTGTGTTCTCTTCCGTACGTCCAAAACATGAGAGTAATAACTCACGTACAGCAGATGACCCGGAAAGTATTTGTTGAATCAATGAATGGATAGGTGGATAGACAGATAGAACATTGTGTACCTACAAGCAAAATACACTCTGAAATCATATAAAGTCCATAGTTTTTATACTGTAAACAATCAGTCTTCAGTGGGAATTATGTAAAGGTCCATATTTAATCTAGGAAGGAAAATATCTGTTTCTCAAGAAAAATAAAAAAAACAGTTCTTCCATTCCAATGTAGTCACTTAAAAGTTGAACACCAATACAAAGGGAATAGTCTAATTCAGAGAACATAAAATAAACATATTTAAAATAAGGGGGGAGAAAACCTGGTCTGGTATGTATTGTTTTATCCTTCCCGTCCTGGGAAACAAAGAATAAAAGCCAAGGATGAAAGAAGCCCCTCGCTCGCTCGTTAGCAGAAGAAAGCTCGCGCTCCAAGTTCCTACCAGGCAGATGCCAGTTGAAAGCCACGCGTATGGAAGCCGCCGCAGTGTCAAACCCTGTTGGCTAATCCGAGACAAATGTGTCATGTGTGACACGGGAGGATGGCACGCTGTACATTAGTGATGTCCCCAGTGTTCGGAGCAGGTAGTAATGTGCTGGGAAAGTGCTCTTTCTCTCCCCGCCCGGTGTACTTGCAGAGCAGAGGGGAGATGCTTTCGGTGGAAATTACTTTAGTCAGAAAAAGAATCCATTTACAATATGCGCCTTTCAGACATCTTTCAGACAATGCATTGTATTAAAGAGGCATTTTTTGATTAATGTTTTATAAACATTTTTCAGCATGACAGCTTAAAGTCCCTGCAAGATTGTAAGTGCGTGCCTGGTGTTCACTTGCATAAAGTCGAATGCCATCTCGCAAAACCTCGTCGGCACCTGTCAGCCACAGTGACACGGACTCGTACTGGGGAGCATTAAAATTAATTTCCTTCATTTATATTACTGCAGTGATAGCAGATGAAAAGAGTCCTACATTTAAATTTTACTTTTAAAAGGAATCTCTTTCTAGTAAGTTTGTTTGTGGTTTTTTTTTTAAATAACTGCCCCTTTTTTTCTAGTTAATGAATGTAATAAAAATGGACTCGTAGCACAGTCACTTTTATGAAGGGATCTGGGAAAACACAAACCTGTTCATTCAGCACTCTCCTTTGAGCACCTACTGAGTGCCCAGAGAGGAAGAAAAAAATAGTCTCTGACCCTAGGAAACGTAACGCTCAGTGAGGAAAACACAAGCCTCAGACAGCGACACCGAGCGCCGGGACACTGGGCTGGCATTGCCCCGGGTCAGGTGAGCGCAGAGCAGAAAGATCTAAAGGCCTTGCGACTTGGAGGGTGCCTTCCCAGAGCAGGGCACTTGAGAACTAAGGGCCAGAAGATTGAGCTGGTCAGGAAGTGGGTGATGGCCATTCGAGGCAAAAGGGGCTCAAGTGCAAAGGCCACGGGCGAGAGACAGAGCGTGGTGCGGGGAGTGGGCCCGGCTGGTGGGGACAGGAGTGCAGGTGCTCTTCTCGGCTGGAGCCCAGAGGTAGAAGCGGCAAGGGTGGTGAGACCTGCAGGGAGCGGGGGCCAGGTCACGAAGGTCCTTGTGCTGCGTGGGGAACTCCTGTGTGAGTTGACAAAATCCGGTCTGTGCTCTACACTCGTTGCTCTGGTCACAGAATGGGAAATGGCTTGGCCGGGACGAGCCTGTTCGGAGGCAGTGGGGGAAGTGCCCCTGGGAGCTGACCGCACTCCAGGCTCCCGGGACTGCCGTGGGCCTCGGAGAGCACCCGACTGACCGCAGGTGATATCTGGTCAGCGCTCACAACACTCTGACCATCACTGCTGTTACTACTGCTGTCTCGTCGCATTCAGGTGGGTTTCTGATGTCACTCCCAGTAACACGCCTGTGTATCTTGCAGTTGATTTCTTGTTCACTTCCTCAGCCAGCAGCCCTGTGACTGTCCCCCTGGCTTCCCCTCTGTGCCCGCATCAGCTGAGTGACACAGGGCCCGAGCCTGACCCAAGAAAGGGTAACTGTGGGTGCTTCAGCAAGCAGCCCCTGGCCTCGGGTTCCAGGTCAGAACCCCCGCTGTGATCGGTTTTAGGGACAGACGTCGCCGTACTTCTATCATGTGCTCCCTGTAGCCCCACATCTGTGTCACCCGCTGCTGCCCCAGCTCCTCGATATCATCCCATCGGAGTCCTCCCCGGAAACAGGAGGAGTCTGTGTCTTCTCCTTTTCTCGTCACAACGACTTTCCAGGACTAGGGCATCAGGGTCGCTTCTCAGCTATGAACAGATTAAGCATGCTGTTTTTTTAAAGAAGAAACTGCTTTGTTTTTTTACATCAGCGAGAAGACGGAAACTGTGCAGAAATCTAAGTGTGTGCTTCTGAAGCTATGATAGAGAGCCCTCATTTGGGAAGAGTAACGTGTTTCAGTTCATGGCCGTGCTGTGCGAGGCTGTGAAAAAGGACGTGGGCAAGGAAATACATTTTTGCATAAAAGTTTGAAATTTATTAGAAGGTAAAAGTAATTGCAAAAGCAGGGCTTTCCCTAACAGGGTTACAATAAGTTATTTATGTGCCATTGTTGTACGGGTTTAGGAGCTTGGGTCCTTTTCAGAGGCGGTTCTCAGAGAAACCAGAAGGAAGCTAAGCTATTAAAGCCAGTTAGCTGAAAAAGCCCACACGCGCATGCGGCGGTTCTGACAACTGGGCCGTAGAAAAGCAGTCGGTACTGACAGTAAACTGCCGGGGTCTGAACTGCGTTGCAGGGAGCTCAGTAGGCGCCCACGGCACTCCTCCGGCGCTTACGGAGCATGCGCGCCGCGCCCTGGGCGCGAGGGGGCGGCACAGAGAGCACGCCCGCGTGCAGCACGCCCTTGTGCACTGAACTTGAGTGTGGCGTCTGAACACTCCGCACTGATCGTACAGGTCAGCTGCCGTTCGCAAGGTCGCTTTGGGACCCTTGGCCAGATGGGAACACCCAAAGTCTTGATTAACGTTCGTTCGGTGGAAGCAGCCACCCACTTACGGCAGCGGGTGCCACCTGCCATCTGACCGTGTCCTTCCGACTCGAAAGGGAACTCCGAGGCTGGGAAATGGTGCCGTGCAGGCCTCGCTGACGGCCAGCAGACTGTTTTGTGACTAAGCAAGGAAAGATTCGCTTCGAACTTCGGCCCCTCTGGTATCCTTCAGTCTTCTTGAAGGAACTTTATTCCATATTGTCTTCTCCTCTCTCCTTGTTAGACAGTCTGCTAATCTGCAGCGAGTTATCCGATGCCCCCAAATACTGGCCACCTTTTTAGCTTGAATGGGTTCTAGGTAGAGCTTAGAGCCTTATGTAGGGAAAAGAGGATGAACGGGTTTGACGACTCATCAGAGACCTTGCCTTTTCAGTTCTGGGAATACACGTGGGGAAACACGGCCAGGACCTAGTCCAAAGTCCCGGTTTTAATGGAGAATGTGTTTCATCTGATGACAGACTGAATTCGCCTCTCGATTCCCTGTCTTCTTTGTCCATCAGGAATTCCGATGCTGAAGATAGTGTTTGCCGGCCACGAGCACCTCTCCCTAATATCCGTGCCGCTGCTCATCTACCACCCGGTCCAGATCCTCCTGGGGAGCGTGCTGGTGCCCACCATCAAGTCCTGGATGGTGTCACGGCAGAAGGTGAGGCGCTAGAAAGATCTCATTTGAATCCAAATCAAGTCGAAATGCTATTTCTGCGTCTCATCTCTTCGTGCCTTTTAACTTTTGCTGACATAGTCTCATTCTCAAAGTACCATATTTTTCAGACTTCTAAGAAGCACTTCCCACCCACCCACCCCCAAATTTGGGAGGAATAATGGTTGTTAATGCTGCTGTTGAATTCTGATTACATTTACATTGGTGAAATATTATGTTATTTATGTTATTAAATATTTTACCACATTTTTTATTTCAAAATTTTCCTATTTTCCTCCTCTAAAATCTAGGTGTGTCTTATGGTCCGAAAAATACAGTACATATTTTCTTAATGAAATCCAATAATGATGACGCTTTGGTCTATTTCAATTTGAACAGGAGGGTTGAGGGTTAAATGTTTTGTATTGCTATAAAAGTACAATTATTCTTAAAATGCAGTCTGTAAAGCTCTTTTTCATTTGCTCATATTGAAGGGCATTCCGCCATTGGGAAAAGGTGCAGGAAATACACTCAAAACATGCGTGCCCCCCCTCTCGGGCGCACACACCCTTCCCCCCCTTGACTTCCCACATGTGTCCTGATTTTACCTGCTGCCCTGCTACGTATGCTAGCTCCTGGCTTTCATTAGGATGCCTACTTTATTTTTAATTTTCTAGACACACCATAACATCTTCACTCAGCAAAACTGCGTGTTTGGTATTAAGAACTAAAATTTCAGTAGCAGAGGAGCCCACATGGTCTTGATCCCAGCACGCCTGGCTCAGAGTCTCATTACTGGTCTGATATCTGTGGATTCGGTTTCCTGAATTATCAGCCCCAGTAAAATAAGCTGGTCGATTCACAAGAAGTTGTGATGCTGCGCAGACCACGGATGCGCTCACAGAGCGGGCTTCTCCCCAGGGCTTGACTCACGGGGCCTCCTTCCTTTGGACACTGGTGTCAGTGTTAGCGGGAGATGAGCGGGAAGAGAGACAGCCAGTGGCAGGACACCCTGCGCTGTGCCCTCAGTGTCCTGAAAACAGAACAGCCACGCTACCCCCTGTTGAGTCTGGGTCCCAGCTGTTCCCTGGTCCAGCGTGTGGGCCCTCGAGCCACCCTGCTGGCTCTGCCTCCCTCTCACTGGCGGCCTTGGGCTCATCCCTGCTCTGTCCCTCAGTTTCTGCTGCTCTGAAACTGGTGATAATGCCTACTCCTGGGAGTTGTGCAAGGGTATGTGGCAGGTGTTTGACGAAAGCTAGCTGCTGTGATTGTCGCAATTGTCACTGTTGTTCCTTAGTAACTTCGACCCTGTTTGTAGCCGGCTCTGCCGCCCCGTTGTAGGTCAGGGAAGAGGCTCAGAGCGCTGAGCGATTTGCTCAGGGTATGTGGGCGCCTCATCAGTGCCGGAGTTGGGGCTGGAGCCTGGTCTCTTCGGCCCCCAAGTCTTTCCCCTGCGCCACGAGGATGTCCAGACAGATACATTGCTTTCCAAAGGAGCGCCCTAGGGCCCCAGGGTCCTCCCTGAAAAGGTTAACTCATCCACCACCATCACTCATTTAGTTATTGAACAAAATGTTAGTGATTATTATTCTGTGCAGGGTCTGGCTCCAGGCTTGGGTCCTCCCACTCAGGGTTGGTAGAGGATAGTCTAGTACCATTTTCTTTACTATCTATCCATTTTTAAAACTTTCACTTATATGCACGCTTATATTCATCTCTGTGTGTTTTTATAGACCAGAATTTGTACATATAAATTTTGATAAATGAAGAAAATGATTTGAAAATCCTAATACCCCAGCAATAATGTGCAGTCATAGCAAACAGCGAATTAATCAGAGTGAAATTTTCTTCTAAATGTTGAAAATGCTGTGACTTATTCTACAGAGTAACAGAAGCACTTCCAAAGGGGAGACAGAATTGGACAACGCTGTTTATTTTCCCTTTGCATGGAAACCCCTCTAGACCAGGGGGCCGCTGTCTAAGTAGCATAATCCAGAAGGTTTAGAATGCTGTCCATCCCATTCGAACACAAAAATAAACACAAAGCACCCATCGTGAGGGTCCCCACTATTGCTTTCCAAACAACACTGACGGAGACCCAGGGCCACCATCTGGTGCACAGCCAGGCCAGGCTGGGGGGATGACAGTCTGCTGGCCAGGGAGGGGGGCCGCTGGTCTGTGGGTCCCCAGAGGTTTGGATCAGCGGTTCCCCACTGCCATCCGGGTGGGCCTCCTCTTCCTTCTAGTAGCATAAGTGATGTGGTGTTGATTGACACTTCCACTGGCTAATGGCCATGGTCCAACCCTAAACTGCACCTTCTCCTCTCTCGCAGGGAGTCAAGCTGACGAGGCCAACAGTATGATGAAGGGGTGCCCGGTGTGCAGCGGTGTACGCGTGTGCAGGGTGCACGGACAGTCGGAGGACTTGTGCTTGTGAATGTTGCTCCAATACACATTTTATTTTTTTATACAAAAATGATATAACTGTCGAAGTGCCTTAAAAATGTATTTGACGAGAGCATTATTTCCAAAACGTACTTTGTTGGTTACTGCCAGAGGTGGTACAGCATTTTGGAGTTGTTTAATGTTTTTTTTCCCTAACGCAGGGAGCAGTCGTCGTACGTGACACAGCCCCGCCTTTGTGCAATGCAGCTCTGTGCGAGTTACCGTACCGCTCGAAATGAGGTCACACCATCAGAAAAATGCTCTTCTGATGACAGCGAAAACTTCCAAAGTCTGACTCACAAGTCCTTTGATTTACTGCGAGATTTTTTTCTACAACTGTGACATGCCTCTTATCGCCCCAGCAGGGGTCATAGACTGCATCGATGCTGAAAAGCATAATCTCTCTGCGTTTCTCAGCATCGTTTTTGTAGACATTCCTTCAGATGGTTTCCACCCAGCAATTCCTCTGTTCCGTGATAAGAGATTGTGATACTTTATGTCTTAAATTTATTATAAGCTGCTTCAAAGAAGAGGCCTGATATTTGAGTTAGGAGTAAATTAAGTGAAGTTTTGAGGTAAACTACAGGATTTTTAAAAATATCTTTCATGTGTTTTTTTCTTTTTCCTTCCGTAATTTCTTTACTGCTTTCCAACACACTCGCAAACTCATAACAGCCAAATGTGAGACACTAAAATGTGATAATCAGTTTGAGCGCAGCAATTTAATGATAGATTATATGCACATTCCACAACTGAGAATAAAAAATTTTTCCTGTTACACAGATGTGCCGAGCACAAATTGCCCCTTTTAGCCAGAAGCAGCCTGTTACATCCTGGAATTAAGCACACTTAAGGCATTTGAGACAAGTTATTAATGAGAATTTCCTTGGCAGGTTTGACAAATGTTTGCGACATTTTTTAAAAAATTAAGTCATATTGCTCTCATGAATAAATGGAAATATAAAGGTCATAGATGCAAACAAATGTTACAGATCCACATGCTTTCTAGTCAAAAGGGGGGAAAAATGGGCACAGAAAATGCAAAACCATTCATTAACCAAAATATCAAGTAAAATTAATTCCCAACTGGGCTTCCGTGTTCAAAAGAGTGTCCAGTGTTTGCTTCTGCTGTGGCTGGAGGAGCTCTCACTGGGCCCGAGTAGAGAATAAAGCAGCAGCACCGAGAAAGGGAACGCTCTTCCCCCGTTTCCTGTGCGCGTCTGTCACTTCTCCTCCCCACGTCCCGTCCTGATGAGACAGACGACACCGGCATCCGGGGTCGCGCTGAGGCCGCACTCTGCCCTCGGCAGCTGCGTTGTCATTGTTCTGTCAGCAGAAGAAAAGGCATTCCTTAGAAAACTACCCACTTTATCAACAGTGCAGACTTTCACCTGGTCGCATCTCGGAGTTCTTCCAACTCATTTCGACATCACTGAAGTTCATAAGAACTGTCCTCAGTGTCCATTTTAAAGCTAGTGCCAGACCCTGCAAAAAGGCTGCGCTAACCAGGCTGTTCGTCAAGAATTTCTTGTCGACACTTTCACTTGTGTCTGAAACTACAATAATTTTTGCTTGATGCTTTGGATGCCTACCTATGGAGCATAGAAAAGGTTTTCATGTTTTGTTCCTGTCAATTTCTTTGAATTTCAGAGTTAATGAAGCTGTCCGAGTTATCATGAAAGCTGTCATTTGAATACTGATTTCCCCCAACTTATCTACCTCTGTCATCAAACACCTATCGTAGGTGTGTGATTATGGGACAAAACTCAACTGGAAATACTATGGCATCTTTTGCTTTTAAAAATGCATTTTGTTTTCAAGTAATCTTTATGTGGTGAATTTTGTTGGCTTTAGTGGTATGTTTATACCTATTTTTTTTACACAAGTGCTATGGCATATTTTTCCATAAAGAACAAAAAACAAAATCAAAATTTATTTTTAATTCATGTTTATTGGGATTGAATTATTCGTGTCTTAAAACACTTCCTTATGTTTATGCACTGTCAACTGTCTGTTTGATGCATTTGTTTCGTCTAAATGTATTTATGAAAGAAATACATTCGATTATATTTATGTTTACCCATTTTTCACCAGATTTTTTTAATGGCTGTTATGAAATTTGATTTTTTTTAGTGGGTGATAATGTTAATCTATTCACATGTTCTTTTCTAAGTTTTAAAATGTTGTGGGTTTTTAAAAATTCTTTCCTATTCTATTTAAAACTAACACACCTCTGGCTAATGTTCAGTGTTTGTTTATGCTAAATACCAAATTTTTTCAAACAGATTGGGAAGGTAATGAAGTGGATTATTTATGATGAGTGGAAGATGAAAAGAATTCTATGATTAAACAAAGAGATGTTTCAGAAGTCACCAGAGAACCTGTGTCTTATTTTTAACCTGATTCCCAATGCACTCACAGTGCCTTCAAAAAGTGTCTATAGATTAATCTCAATTGGCCCGAACACTGTTTTGCCATTCGTGGTTAAGCAGATACAAGCTCCACAGCCTCCCCCGGCGTCCATCTCAATACCTTCACCACACCATCATTTTAAAATCCAGACCGGGCCCTCGCTTTTTTTGTTAGAAACATGTGTTCGGGGCATCGGAGTGGAGGACCAAAAGAGAAACATACCCAGCAGAAGTGACAGATTTCAGGCGATCTGAACCGCAGTCACCCTTGTCAGTCTTCGAAAGGATAGAAAAGCTGCAACCTTAGGACACCTCTTCCAAACCGAGTGTTTATGACCGAGTTGCTTCATTTGAACTCCACGCCTTGAGTCCGTGTTCTGCTGCCGCGGCTTACCCCTCCTCTGCTCCCGGAAAGGCTGAGCCACGTGGCTTTCCTGCTTCCCAGCTTCCCAGCCAGTGCAGGGTCGTGCCCTTAGAAGGTGTCGATTCGGTCTCCCGAGACCAAGCCCTTCGCACTGCCTGATGGTCACTTGACCTTCCCGTCTCCTCCAGCGTGGTCCTCGTCTCTCTTCTTCTCCTGTGTCTAACTCGGTGCCTGGCTCAGAGCAGTAGCCACAAAAATCTGATTTTCCAAATTGTCATCTTAGTAGGTAGGACATGAACCCTCAAATTTTAAGAGCTCTGATTATAGATACAGACACCAAAAGTGGGATTGCTGGATGATATGGTGGTTCTATGTTTAATCTCTTGAGGAACCCCCATACCCCTTTCCAGAGTGGTACTTTCTAAAACACGGCCCCAAAAGCCTTTAGTAAAAAGTCCGCTTTCCACCAGAGGTTTCTTTCGGGGGAAAATGAAATAAAAGATTCAGCCTCCACCAAGAGGGGATACAGGGGAGAGAAAAGAAGACATTCCAGTAAGAAAGACACCGTGTCTTAGTGGGAATGTTGTGCATTAGGCAATGAGAAGAACGGAAGCTCCTGGAAACCTGGGTGGGGGGGCAATGACTTATCACGGAGCGTGGACTCCCTCCTTACACCACTGGGTCCGAACTGAAGTTCATGTGTATGCAGACAGACGGACCACGGCCTCGTAGCTCGCATTAAGTGCTCTGTGGTGTACACATGCCCAGCCTGGGGATTCAAGCTGGCAACATCCGGCTCCTAAAGGTGGAGTTAGGAAGGGACGCACAGGGCTGGCTCTTGGGAGGTGACACCAGCCTGACCCCAGATGGGCTCTCGAGAGATGACGCCAGCGAGCCCAGCATGCCTCTGCACGAGGGGTTCTTCACACAGATTTTCATTTGATTCTTTCAACAACCTTAGGAAGAGATGTATCGTTATTATCCCCATTGTACAGATAAGGAAACTCAGGCCAGAAGGGTAAAGAGTGAGTGCAAGCCTCACTACTCCTGAGTGGTGCAGCTGGGATTTGGACTCAGACGTCCCTGACCCCGGAGCCCACAGGGCTGACCGCTAAGTAGACTCCTCCACAACCCTAAAGCCCCGAGCTCTGTACAAGAGCTCCTGTCGTCACCGCCCAAAGTTCTGGACACTGGCAATGCTTCCAAACCCTGATTTCTGCAGCTGAGGTTTTGATAAAGATGTTTTCTCTACTTGGAGCAAATGAAAAGCCCCGCATCTCAGAAATTCCAGACAGTCAGCAGGAAGGAGCCTCGAGTGCCTACCCTACCGCGGGCCTCAGAGCCCACCAGAGGACGAGACAGCAAGCCAAGGAAACAGACCTTAAGACTCGGTCATTTCCCTGGTACTGGCTGTTCCAGACGTGGGATCCATGCAACGGCGTCCGTCTGGGCTCGCAGCTGGAAGCTCCAGAGCCTGGTTCTGTGGGTAATCAGTGTGGTGTCCTGGGCTGGCTTTGCTGACGTGGCTGGGACAAATCCCGCACCTTTTCCATCACTAAACATTTACCATGACTCCCCACTTTGTTGGGACCCACCGCCATTACCATCTCCTGTGCGGTGCATTCTGGAAATGCCCCTCCCTTTCCAAGGCCCCCCAGCGCTCTACCTGAGAATTCCGTGTGCGTTGAAAATGGAGCAAAACATCAGGTGCACAGTTCACCTCTCTGCCCACAAAGCCAAAGTGAGAATTGCATCGCATCCTAGGTTTGTTGTTAGGATCCAGTGAGAGAATCCCTGCAAACAGTTGGTCACAGTGCCTGGCACTTGGTAATAGCCCAGTGAGTGGCAGCCACTGCTGCTGCGGCTCAACACGGATGGGACCTGGGGGAGCCACGGCGCCCGTGTGGTGCCGGACGCATGCAGTCAGGCGTCGAGGTCTGCTCTGCACGCTTTCTGACATGTGCAAAAGATCTGTTATGAGGTTCGTTACACGTCACTAATCAGGTCACAAAGTGACCAGGGCAGGAGTATCTATGCCATCGGTTAATGAAGACGCCTGGTTTTGAATGTTAAGATGGTTGCAGCATTCCTTGGCTTCCAGTATGGATTGCAAGGCCCTCCCAGGTCACCCCCACTGCCCGGGCCTTGCCTTTTCCTGCTTGCACCAAAGAACTCCATGCAGTGATTTTGCCCAGCTGCCCCCAAAGCCCTGAGACCTCCTGAGAACTGTATGACAAGACAGCTGACAGGCTGAGCTGCCCCACACCGGGTCTGGGGTGCTAATGCCTGTCGGAGGTGGGTCGGGCTGTGGGGCTGCTCCTGGAGCAGACAGTCTGTGGTCATGGCCCTCTCAGAGGGCCGTTCCTTGCGTCCTGGCTGAGTCCAGGCTGAGATGTCCCCTTTCCACTTCATCAAGTGCCACCATGGCCCTGGAGTAGCTGGCTGTCCCCTCTGCGGTCCCCCCTTCCCTGTCAACCCTCTAGTGTCACATTTCCAGCAATTCTGGTCTCTAGTCTTTCTTCCTGCCCATGGTGAGAGCTCTGGAGCCCCTCCCACGGTGCAGCCGCCTTCCGTGACCCAGCGAGGACTCCCAGATCTGCGGTCCCAGCTCACATTCGCAGCTTCAATGGGACATTCCCACCTGAGTACCCGCAAGGCCCCTCTAACCCGCATGCCCTAGAGGAAAAGTCAGTAACCTCTTTCTTTCCCTACACTCAGTCCTCCCCAAGCCAGCTTCCTCTGTTGGCATAGCAACCTCCCCAAACCTGCTTCCTATGTTGACATAGCAACCAGGCCTGGTGTCCTCCCCCTCAGCCTCCACAGCTCACTTTTAATGTTCAGTTAGTCAGCAAATTCTCTTGATTCTATCTGCAAAACCGTTCCTTAACTCCTGCCTCCCCCTTCACCCCCCTGCCACTGTCTCAAGAGGTGTCCCACTTCCTCAGTGCTCTTTCCCCTCCAGACTTGCCTTCTTCCAGCCAGGAGGCCCTGTGCTGACATCTGCCAGTCACCTGCTGTGGGCTGGGCACGCTGCTGAATGCTTTACATAAATTATCCCGTTTAACCCTTGTGACAACTCTGGACATTGCTGTAATTATTCCCATCTTACAGATGGAAAAATGGAGGCTCTGAGAGACCAAGTTCCAGGTTCCAGAGCTTCTACATGGCAAAGTCTGGATTTCCACCTGGATGGCCAGCTCAGCCAGCACCTGGGCTCCCCTCCTGCCCTGCATTACTCACTCCTGATGCTCAAGTTCCCGACACACACACACCCATTTCTCCCTGCCCACCTTGCGAGACACGGCCCTTGGTTTTCAATTGTATAATGAATGCCTTCACTTGCCAGTTTATCACGTATCAGGTTGCACCAAATTATCATTACCCACATGTCCCCCCGACCCCGAACGGTCAGTTTCTTCAGTGGGGACCTGTTCTGTGTGACGTCGGCAACGCTGATGACTGGCAGAATGCGCGCCTTGTCGCAGGAGCCTTGGTCCGCGTTCGTGGAGCAGTGGGTGAACCCTTGAGGCCCTCCAGGGCGCTTTTCTAGTTTTGCAGGATGGGTGTCTTCAGATTATGAAACACTACTTTTAGAAAGTAGCACGTGACTCTTAATCATCACTCAAGGAATGGGAATCATCCTATTAGTCTGCTGATGCTCCAAAAGGACCTTTTTTTTAAAATGAAAACACTCAGTAAAAAGAATGATGACAATTTTGGTGCCAGAGTAGTTGAGACCCAAAGCAGCTAAGACCTCACTCCCCCTCCACATGTACATCCCTGTTGTGGCCTTCACCTTGGGACCCACCTTGGGGCCTGGATGCCCGTGCAAAGGTCCCGAGGTCAGGGTCAGGCGCCCAGCCTGCAAGGGGCCTGTGCCTTTTGGACCCAGACTAGTCAAACAGCGCCCCCTCCCCTGCCTTTCATCTGCCCTCCACTTCCCATTCCCGCAGGAACACTCACCCTCAGTCCCGAATGCTCAGTTAGGATCCAACAAAACTCAGCTGGCCGAGGAAAGCACGTGGGCAGATCCAAGACAGAGCGCCCTAGTTACTGTAAAGAGACCCCTACATCAGGCCCTTTTACCTCTAGGTCACTGGTTCAAGTCCAGCCAGGCCTACCCTGACAGAAAATCGTTACATACTCTGTGTCGGGCAGCCTGAGACATGGAAAATGAGTTCCTGTCGCCGTCCAGCAGGCAGTGTCCACGTCAACTTGGCACTAAGCAGTTCTTGACTCGGCGGAGACAGAGCAGAAATCACTCGACAGCCGCCAGCCCCGGAGGTCAGGCCGAGCCTGTGTGTCTGCGTTCTCTGCGTGGGGCCCGCCGGCTCCCTCGCCTCGCCCCGCCCCTTGCAGGAGCACTTTATTAGCCCGGTGGTTGGGGCTTTCTCCCTGGAGATGTTGTTGAACAAGGAGTTTGAAATAATGGAACAACTGGAAGGAAAAAAAAATCTGGTTCTGCAGTATTGAAAGAAGAGTGGCTGCAATCACAGCAGAAAAATAGGTTTTCTCCCCTGGCAGAGCTGCGTCGGGCAGGGCCGGGCCTGCCGCGTCCACCCAGCGGGAGGTGTGGGGCCTCTGGGCAGGTCAGGCG